TCAACTATCTAGCTTAGAATACAGCATTATACAATTACACTTCTTCAACCTATCCATCCTCCCCATTATCCTGGTTAGAGGTGCAGGGATGCTGAAACTTTAAAATGAATAATTACATTATGAAAAGTTGGTGATTTGTGTGTTTCCAGTGCCCTAACCAATGCTTTACTTGAAAACTGATCACTGATGCAGATCAGCGCATAGCCTGAGGGACTAGTTACCAGTAACAGTCTGATCTTCTGAAGTTTCTCTCGATCTATGTCATACTGCTTCTCAATCAGCTTGTTCCTCTCCTAGATAGAACAAGACACAATATTACAAGCAGGCATATCTCATAATTCCCAAAGGGCTCTTTAGTATACAAAACAGTGGATTACCTTCTCATCACTACCATCACCACCTGACTCCATCTTCAAGTTCTCAATGATCTGCTGCAAACGAACCATCTCTTCCTAAAAGGTGAAAACCTTTTAGTAAAGTTCTCAAAGGAAAGTTTGGAGTTACACCTAGAAAATTCCTTACACTGCCTGAAGAGCTCACCATACATGCCAAACTGATATTGCACAATTTATACCTCACTTTCTATTATTCATTCATTCAAGAGGGAGTCTGATAGCATGAGGTTCAAAGGTTACCCTAATTCCAGCTGTATTTTGCAGTAATTCTTTATAAGGAGAAGAAAAACAGTTCCATCAATACAACACTTACCTTACAATGGGTTCTGAACTCCTGTTCTTGATTCTTCAGTTTCTCATTCATGGCGACAAGGGCTCTCAATTTCTCAAGGATACTAGAAAATACCAACAAACCTTAATGCTTTGTTGAGAGTAGGGTTGTTCTATAATTAGTCTTTAAATCTATAACTAAACCCCAGTGTAGCATGAGGAACCAAACCATATAGTGCAAAGCATGCTAAAAGTTGTTAAAAGTCACAATGAATTTACAAAATTACGTGCAGGGAGGAAGCCAATAAAGCTCATGAGACATTTTCAGAGGCTGATGGATTACACACAGAAGTGCTGATGCACAAGACTTTTAGTTTGGTGCCGATTCCCATAGTCCTCTATCAATGAAGAACTTATTTTCTCACTCTGGCTAGTGCACTACTCTCTAGATGAGGCAATGCATCAAATACTTCTGCTGAGTCTGTACTGGCCTACAAATTCAGACACTCTCAAGGATCACTATCAACTTATAATGCATATCATCAAACAGACAGATAACCTATTCAACTAATTCTGTAGGAACCAGTTTTACATACCCAGAATCAGCCTGGGCCTCTACTGCTTCCAGAGTGCACAGCTCTTTCTCCAACTTCTCTGTTAGTTCCATAGCCTTATTAGAGAAAAAACCCACAGAGGAAACTATTAGCCACTATTGAAGAATTTGCTTCATATGTATATACTGTACCAGACAAAAGTAATCATTTCAAAAGACCACCTTCCAATCCTTAGATACCCCGTTTCTAAATTTTTTGAGCCCAGGGAAGTCTCTTCTTCATATTCTGCTGTTTCAATAATTGTTTCCTTGCTAAAACTTAACAGGCACTGTGTGCTTGTGCTTTCAGTTTTATAAATTTGCATCCATGATCAGGGTTGTATAATGCAACAACAAGGGCAGTGTGTCGTCTTGCAGTGTGTTGTTCTCTAGCTCGCTCTGAATTTGATGTTTGCTCTGCCTCCACGTGCAGACTCCGCCCACAACTCTCTGTAAGCAGCATTCGTCACTTCCGTCTTCCGAAGTGAAAAAAAAGCTCTGCTCACTTATTGATTATTGTTGTTGGCTTGCTTTTCTTTTATGGATATTACTGTGTATGATTTGTTTGGTTTATAGGTTTCTGATTTTCGCTTTGCCCTTGTCTGTACTTTCGCTTGGGTTTACTTGCTATTTGCACTTAGGTAAGTTAGCTTTTGGTGGCGTTCAGAAGCTGGGTTTTGTTTATTGTTTTCACCATATTCACTCCCGAGTCCTTTTGCACTAGGTTTATTTTTTCTGTGTCCGTGGTGTGTCAGTAAAAACAGGAAAATATAACAAAAATACACCTTTGTCCTCGTGTGTTCCCTTGTTCATTGCACCCTGTCCTTCCCTTACTCCACGTCCCCTTTCCCTTTCACTCTGTTACACCCCAACCCTAGACTGGGGCTCGTAACAACAGCTGCTGGTTGTGTAAAATTAATTTGCACATGCGCGTGCCTAGAGCTGCCTGGTAGAGGGAGGTGCCCGTATACTAGAGGTCCGGATAAGGGAGGTTTGACTATAGTTGCTAAATGAGGAGTGTTTGTATTGGAAACGGTAAGTATGATCAAATAAAGTCAATTTCTTGAGAAAAGGCAATGCTGAATACTAGCTATCTGTTGACACAAACACATATACATCACCCTGCTTATATGTTAACATTCTGCCAAGTACCTCCCAAATCAGCACAGTGTGTTTGCTTCTACCGATGGTCTCACAAAGTTCTTTTGACAGCCTGAGCTCAAGGGTGGTCTTTTCTATCCCTGAGCGTCACAATATTGGCAGAACAGACGCTCCTTTACTTACGAACTTTCAACTTACAAACTTTCAGACATACGAACGAAGAGGACCAAGTCCAAATTGTGTTCATTTGGGCTCCCGTTTTCTGTCCGCAACATAATTTTTTTTTTTTCTGTGCTCCAATTCCGCCTAGTATGACTTCTGGCCGCTACTCCCGCCGCACAGTAGTGTAGTGTGCGTACTCCCAGCATCCTAGTTCTTTGTACTTGCGTATACTCTTAAAATGATATTGAATAATGACTTACGTATATATCAAGTTACGAATGGCCGTTTGGAACATATCTTATTCGTAAGTAGAGGAACATCTGTACTGACACTTCTTACCTCTGTAAGTTTGCCCTTGGCTTCTTCACATCCTGCCTGGGCCTCCAACTGTTTGGCCTGTAGCTAAAGACAAAAGGCCATTCAACACAAAAGAATACTGTTTAAAAAACAGATACCTGAGAAAATATAATTTAACTAGGGTTAACTGACTGAACTAAAGTACTCACTTTCAGTGCAGTTCGGTGATGTTTGTGACTTTGTGCATAATAAGAATCAAAACATTCTAGCTTGATCATGCAACCATGACAGTAAGACTACAGATAAACGGCCTAGCAAAGATACCTCTTCCAGTTGCTTGGTCTTCTGCTGAATCTGCTTGTTAAGAGAAGCCACAAGTCTACGATGCTGCTGAGTTGGACCATAGCCATCGGTCTGGTCTTCCATTAATCGCTCAGATTGCTGGAATAAAAAAAAGTTGTGTCACTCTTGGGCCAGCTTTATATCTCAAATTGAAAAAGCAATTATATTTATTCTGTTAAAAATTCTACTAACATTGATATATTTGCCCAACATGGTGAGAATGATCCTAAGATTTCTACATCCAAATTGTGACACCCACCTTGTCTGCATAGTCCAAGGCCATCTGCTTGATCTCTTCAGACTGCAGGCCCACGATGTGGCCCACAGTACTGGCTGTTAGCCTCCCCTACAAGAGGCAACATTTGAAAAAACTAAATTAAACCATTCAAACTATAGCCCTTATGAATATTTAGAGTACAACCACTCCTCGTTTATTGACTACCTCAGTTACAACGGTAATAAAATGAACTTTCTGACAAACACAGGAATATAAAATTTTTACATAAATGCATGACAGCAGTGCACACTGGAATGAGAGAGATCTTTTAAGTAGAATGTACAAAATTTTGTCCACACCATGAAGGATAAAAGAAATTTATTAAGGAAAGCTGAAGGAAAGTAAGTGCAACTGCAGTAATGATAGGCTACCATGATTTTCATGTTGCAACAATTTCACTAAACAACCTGGTCATTGGAATAGGACTCGTTCACTAAACAAGGAGTGGTTGTGTATTTTTTATATTCTCAATAATAATTATACAAGTCTTACGTCTTCTTTTGCCATTGCAGCCATGCCAGTCATCAGAGTTTTAATGCGCAGCTATAACAGAACAAAAATATAGTTTTATAAATGCATATGAACAGACATACATTCCAAGGTTGCAGCAATGGCCAAACCCATAGGCTTCCCTCCCAGGGGGTGCAAGGCGAGACTTAAGGGGCAGATGCAGAAAATTTGAGAGGCAGATGCTTCACTAAATGAAGTGGGGGGGGGGGGGTTGGGAAATTTAACTTGACCGTTGATGATCGAAAAAGGGCAATCAGCACCTCAAAAGCAGATCACTTTCAATCTTTTGGCCAGGTGAAAGCCACCATCAGCACTCAACCTCACCCACCCCCAGGTGCACGTGGCAGATAAAGTTGTAAAAATAATGGTGAAAACATACACATTATTACACATTACTAACACAAACATACACATTACTAACACAAATATAACTTTATAATTAAGCAATAACATACGAGGAGTGTGGTTGTATACCCGGTGTAGTTTCATCTAATAGTACTGGTAAGAGCAGTGAAACAACTAGCCAGCTTATTAGCGGAATAACTAAATTAAAACCATGCCACAGGTCTGAAAATAAAAATATTGTTGCCCTCAAGTGGTGAAGAGATCATCAGGTGGACTGCAAAGTTCAATTTACACTTTTATTGCAGAACTAACCGTCATATAATTTATATAATATAATTTAACTTTATTGAACTCCATATGTTTAAATAGCATTTTCATCTGACAAGAAGGGAGTGCAATTCCACACCCCAGTAAAATCACCTATGGCCAAACCCAGGGTTTTTTATGATATAAAAGACACCTGACTGATGCAGTATGTAAGGATTAGATCAAGGGTGGGGAACCTGTTCCATGGAGGGCCAGTGTGGGTGCAGGTTTTTGGGATGACCTCTCAATCAGCCAATAATAAAACAGCAGTTCTCAACTATAGCCCTAGGGACCCACTGTTATTGGCTGATTGAGCGGTCATCCCAAAAACCAGTACCCACACTGGCCCTCCATGGACCAGGTTCCCCACGCCTGGATTACCTGTAAACTAATTGCTCATATGAACAACTTTTAATGATTCAAAGATCAAGAAAAGCTTAATTGGATTCAAAATCCTCAGATAGAAGCCAGAATCCAAAGCCAACCTCCTCAGCTGCCTGCAATTCCTCTTCTTCCGACACCTCTGTCATTCCTCCAGGAACACCATGTCCCAAGGATACTTTTTTGTCATTCTCCTGTACCAAAGACCAAACTCATAATATCTTTAACCAGTCCTGTACTTCTCCACATACTAAATTAATAAAACATTTAATTGACCTGAACAGTTTAACATACATCCTATTATTTTTTTTCTCCTCACATTTGAATTAATTATTCAAAATATACTAACCTTATCTTGTTTTGGTGCTTTGCTAAACAGATAACGCCTGTGGGGGGGTGAGCAAAATTAAATACATTGTTATCAGCAAGATTCATTAAAGCCATTGTGCTGCTGTCAGTAAAGTTCAAAAACATGCATAATTTCATTCACTCAGATAACAAGTGTAAAGACAATGTCAGAAATAGTTATTAAAGTGAGGAAAACTCAAACAAGCAGATTATTCACTACTGTAGAAAGAGCATGTCATCACCTGACATACCTGCAGTTTGAACTTACAAACACAATCCAATACGCATTAAATATGACAACACGCGTAGTTACACTGGATGTGTTGTGAGTAGGGATGCTCCTTTTGACCGTTTAACCGTTAACCGAAATAATTAATTTTGACCGAATATTA